AGCATAGGCTACCAATCAAGCCTGGAAAAAAACCAGTCAAGCAGAATCCAAGATGTTTCTCCCCTGAAATCCTCTCAAAGATAAAGGAGGAAATCGAAAGACTCCTCCGATGCAAGTTTATCTGTACGACCAGGTATGTCGAATGGCTAGCAAATATTGTACCAGTCATTAAGAAAAACGGATCTTTAAGAGTCTGCATAGACTTTAGGGATTTGAATTCAGCAACCCCAAAAGATGAGTATTCTATGCCAGTGGCAGAAATGCTAGTCGGTTCAGCCGTTGGCCACAAATACCTTAGCATGCTGGATGGATATTCTGGTTACAACCAGATTTTCATTGCCGAGGATGATGTTCCTAAAACGGCGTTCCGCTGCCCAGGGGCCTCAGGCACTTACGAATGGGTAGTGATGCCTTTTGGCCTAAAAAATGCTGGGGCAACGTACCAGCGGGCGACGAATTCGATCTTCCATGATTACATTGAGTCCTTTATGCAAATATACATTGATGATATTGTGATAAAATCTATATCAGGAAAGGCTCATGTGGAACATCTGTGCAAATCCTTCATGAGAATGAGGAAGTTTGGCCTCAAGATGAATCCCCTCAAGTGTGCATTCTGCGTACAAGCAGGAGATTTTCTGGGTTTCGTGGTCCACAAGAAGGGGATCGAAATCAACCAAAACAAAACAAAGGCCACCATGGAAGCGAAAGTGCCATCCAACAAAAAGGAACTTCAATCCTTGCTGGGCAAAATAAATTTCCTAAGAAGGTTCATATCGAATCTCAGTGGAAAAACACAAGCCTTCTCGCCATTGCTTCGAGCCACTAAGGAGAAGTTCGAATGGACGAAAGATCAGCAAGAGGCTTTCGACAAGATCAAAGACTACTTGACTCATCCCCCAGTCCTTGCACCTCCATGTCGAAATAAAAGCATGAGACTGTACATAGCAGCATCAGACAAAACTATAGGGAGCATGCTGGCTCAAGAGGATGGAAGTGGCGTCGAAAGAGCCATTTACTACCTTAGCAGAGTTTTAAATTTTGCAGAAACTAGGTATAGTGAGATAGAGAAATTATGCTTATGTTTGTATTTCTCATGTATGAAGTTGAAGCAATATATAAAACCAGTTGATGTTTATGTTTCATCATATTTTGATATTATTAAGCACATGTTGTCCAAACCTATTTTGCATAGTCGAATTGGTAAATGAGCATTAGCATTAACTGAGTATTCATTAACGTATAGACCGTTGAAAGCGGTCAAAGGGAAGATAGTGACAAACTTTATTGTCGACCACTCCGTAAACGAAAGTGCCCTGAACCTTGTTGAACTAGAGCCTTAGAAGCTGTACTTCGACGGGTCTAGTCACAAGAACGGGACAGGCATAGGTCTATTGATCATTTCGCCTGACAAAATTCCAACAAAATTCAAGTATAGAGTTGAGGGCCTATGTTCCAATAATGAAGCTGAATATGAAGCTTCGATCGCTGGACTTGAAATTTTGTTAGAATTGGGGGCAACCCAAGTCGAAATAATGGGAGATTCAGATTTGGTTGTAAAACAGCTAACAAAGGAGTACAAATGCGTTAAAGAAAATCTTATTATGTATTTCGTGATAGCCAACAGACTACTTAAAAAATTTGAAGTCTGCACTATTCGACACATACCACGATTACACAATCAGATTGCCAACGACTTGGCGCAAGTTGCCTCAGGATACAGGGTCTCGAAGGAGAACTTGCAAGAGGCAATTGAGGCTAGAGGTAAGGTGGTGTCCGTGGGCTTGAGACCTTCGGACCTGGAAGTCACGAAATTTGGCTACGCTGACGAGGAAACCTTTGAGATTTTTACAGTCGAAGATTTGATGGACAAAGATTGGAGGAAACCTCTGGTCGAATACCTTCAGAACCCTTCAGTGACTACATAACGAAAGATAAAATACCAAGCATTAAGCTACGTCCTATTGGGGAATGAGTTATTTAAGAAAACCTCTGAGGGAGTTTTACTAAAATGCCTCAGTGAATCTGAAGCATACTTGGCGTTGTCTTCAGTCCATGGAGGGACATGCGGAGCACACCAAGTAGGCCATAAGATGAAATGGCTGCTGTTTCGCCAGGGGATGTACTGGCCTACGATGCTGAAAGATTGCATTGAGTTCACCAAAGGTTGTCAGGAATGCCAAGTCCACGCTGGCATACAACATGTCCTAGCAAGCGAGTTGCACTCCATAGTCAAGCCATGGCCATTCAGAGGTTGGGCTTTAGACTTGACAGGAGAGATTCGACCTGCGTCTTCCAAAAACCAGAAGTACATTTTGGTAGGGATAGACTATTTTACCAAGTGGATCGAAGCTATACCTCTACCGAAGGTAGACCAAGAAGATGTCATCGAATTCATTCAGAAATATATCATCTACAGATTTGGGTTACCCGAGACAATAACGACAGACCAAGGGTCAATATTTACGGGTAGGAAGATGCAGGAGTTTGCCAAAGAAATGGGATTTAAACTCCTTACCTCGACACCTTACTATGCCCAGGCTAATGGCCAAGTCGAAGCGGCAAACAAAGTGATAATTGGCATGATAAAGAAACAGATTGGAAGCAAGCCTATGAATTGGTATAAGACGTTGGATCAAGTCCTATGGGCATGTCAAACATCCCCGAAGGAAGCAACCAACACTTCCCCCTATCGACTCACCTTCGGCCATGATGCAGTATTGCCAGTGGAGATACACATACAGTCAGTAAGAATTCAAAGACATCATGAAATCCCTCGAGAGATTTATTGGGACATGATGCTTGATGATTTAGTCGATTTAGACAAGGAAAGATTAAAAGCTCTAGAACTCTTGAGGAGACAAAAGAAAAGAGTGGAGAAATCATATAACAAGAAGGTCAAAGCAAAGACTTTCATGGTTGGATATTTGGTATGGAGGGTAATCCTACCTATGGATCGAAAGGTGAGGTCCCTAGAAAAGTGGTCCCCAAAGTGGGAAGGACCATTCCAGGTATCGAAGGTATTCTTTAACGGGGCATATGAAGTGACAGAGCTAAGTAAGGACGAGAGAATATTAAAGGTAAATGGCAAATATTTAAAGAAGTATAGGCCTGCACTTCAAGAGGTAAAAATATCAACAGAGTAATAGTCAAAGATAAAGCGAAGCCATAAATGGTGATTTAAAATATGCCAAAATGGCCCAATGTCTTACAAACAAAATAGAAATGGCTTACAAAGGCCAGTATAATCTTTTCTATTACAAAAAACTTAAATAAATCAAAAAGGAAGATTCGCCTTCATCTTAAGATAGGTCAATTTTTGGAGTTCGAGACGGCTCTGGCATTGAGCCTTATCTGTCCTCAGCTGGGTAACTTCAAATTCCAAACGACGGGCTTCCTCAGCATAGGTAACGGCATGTTCAAGTTCGACTGTTAAAGAGGAGTCATCGAAGGAAGATAGTTCAGCGTTCTTCTTCTTAGCCTTCGCTATCTTACTACGGAGTTTCTTAATCTTCCGCTCCCAACAGGCAATGTTCGCTTCGTTAGTTAGGACCTCTTGCTTATTTTTCTCCCTTGTGTCTTCCAATTCAGCAATCCTCTCCTCAGAGTCGACGACAACGCTCCAAGCGGCAGCTTCACTGCCAGCCTTCGTCTCAATCTCACCCTCAATCTGGGGCAACAATCGATAGTCTTTATAAACCTGGTCGATCAGGGTATCAACTTCTTGAATAACATTCGCAGCCTCAGGAGTAAGGGATTTAACGTCCACCTTTTGAAGAAGAGCTTTGAGGGGAAGATGGCTGGCTGGGCCCATCTGCAGGAGGGTGAAAAGATCCCCTTTGAAAATCTTTTGCTTAACTTTGTCGAGGGCACTGTCAGCTGGCGGCTTTGAGGTCTGTCCTTCGGAGGTCGAAGTACTGGGCGTGCCATTTTGTTTCCCTTGAAAATCGGAAAACAACCGCTGATCTTCCAAATCTAACTTTGGAGACTCACAGGATCGATCAGATTGATCCTAGGACATGTGCTAAAAGGTTTGTTTTTGTTTTAAGAGTCTATTCAAGTTCCACACTCGAACGATATTGGGGTGAAAGTATTCTTAAGGAAACATCTATTCGACTACGAGACAATCTTAAAAGTAAAATAAAGATTTCAATAAAAGAGAAGAAAGTTTGTTGGGAGAAGTGAAGTTGGATTGAGGACGAAGAGAAAAGAATTGCATAGGAAGGAGAAAAGTAAAGTAAGGAAAAAAGGGGTAAAGACAATAAAAGACTTTGTAAAATTTAAAGTAAAACAAGTAAATTGCATTAAGTTAAAAGATGGTGTGTTTACATCACGTACATTCTCTACAATACTCGCTTTCTCTACACTCGGATACTTGGAGTAATTTTAAAAGTAATTTGTACAATAGTAAATTACAACACACTTTGGATATGTCTAAGAGACCCTATTTATAGTAGCAAAAAATAACCTCTAATAACCTCCACCATCATCTCCTTGCGCCATTTGTCACAAATGCATGGATCTACTGCTCATAAGGTGACACGTGTCTCCCTCAATTTTCAATAAGCAAAACTGTTGCCTTCGATATTTGAATTTCAAATCTTTCGAAGAACCATTTCTCACAGCAAGCGGTCGAACTCCTGGCTTCTGGGTGAGTCCTTCGACTTCTTTTTTTGGCTGTTTTGCCTCTTTTGACCATTCTTCTTGATCCTTTTATCTTGAATTCCTTCCTTCTACATGAGGCGTCGAATTTAGGAGCTAACAGTCACCCACTGCATTGAGATGATACTGGAAGACTTCGAGAATAAGATACCTATATATGGAAAGACTATTGCAAAGGGTAAAAGAATTACAACCTTTATTTATTCGAGGGATCTATTGTTTCTCTATTGCATAACTTCACAAAACGAATAGATTTGGTGAAAACAAGTATTACTCGCTATGCTTCGTGTTACTTGACTTTAGAATATCTTTACGAGAACAAGGGAGCTTTGAGAAAAATGTTCAAATCCAAGGGGTGGAGGTCAAGTCAGTTTGCAAAAACAAGTGTTAGAAAATCTGTTGAGGATGTGGTTTTTGACAATGAGTTTTGGAAAAATGTTTTGATTTGCTTAAAATGTGCCAATCCTTTGATGGAAGTGCTTCTTTTGGTGAATTCAATCGAAGAACCAACCGCTGATTTTACTTATGAGGCAATGGAGCAAGCTAAAGAGGAGATAAAAAGTAATCTTTCCATTGAAAGGTAAATATTGGAGTATCAATTTTAGTTTTATAATTGAACTTTTGTTTTGTTTTTTTGGTTTAAGCTATGAAAAATAGTTTAATTTTCTGTATCTCTTGTAGTTTTATGCCTTTATGAAAAATCATTGATGAAAGATGGGACAAACAACATCTCAACCCTTTGCATGTGTCAGGCTATTTTCTTAACCCTCAAAATCAGTATTGTATTGTATTTAGAGACAATAATATAATTAGGCATGGTCTACATCATTGTATAACAAGGATGGTGGGCAATCCCGAAAAAAGAACTAAGATTGAAATTCAACTAGATGATTTCGATAGATGAGCAGGTCTTTTGGGTGATCCTGTTGCTATAATGACAACGAGTTATGAGATTCCATCAGTTTGGTGGGCTGATTTTGGAGGTGGACTACCGGAGCTCCAAAGTCTTATGCTTCGTGTATTACGCTCGACATGCAGTTCTTATGGAGCTAAGAGTAATTAGAATGCCTTCAAGGTGGTAAGAAAAAAGATATCCAATGTGAATTGGAAATTTCCTACTACATGCTTATGTTAATTGTATTTGTATTTGTTTAGATCTATCCCAAGAGAAGAAATCTTTTGAGGCAAGAAAGTGGTAATGATGTTTTTATGATGGCTAATTCAAAATTGGGTGCGAAAAGGCAAGGTAGAGGATCAGTTGAGCTAAATCTGGATGATAATGGAGCCGTTGCAGACGACTTGGAATATGATATGATTTCTGATTTGCATGGCGAATATGCTAATGGAGATGAAGATGAAATAGAAGCTTATTGGTGCTAATGTTTTGCGACTTGTTAAAAACTTACTGTTATAGCTTCAATTGAGAAGTAGTTTGTAACTGATGAATTGTGTAAATGGATTTTGATTTAAGTTTAATGAGGTGTTTATAGTGAGTTTCTTATCTGTGTTATTTCAATGTTGTTTATGTTTCTGATTCATAACTCTGTTGAACTTGGGAGCAACATTTTAAAAAAGAGTAATGCTATCTTCCACAGAAAATCTTTCATGAATATCACAAATATGAAATCAGCGGACAATCTAAGGTGCCTTACCTTATAGGATGTTACAATTAACATTGTGGAGTTGGTTAATCTAAATAAAATTCAACAACAATACAATTTAAGTTGTATTTGAATATTAACAATAATACTATTCTAATGTGAATAGAGAAATAATCTTCTAATTTTACAACATTTTAATTTTGAGCTAGTCATACTATTCTGACTTTCATGCTAGAATAAAAAATTCACAAGACAAGTTTAGGTATCCAGGTGCAGTTGGAATGTATGAGTGATTTTCATGGCGTTTGGACTCAAGAATTTCGACACCACCTATTAGAGATATCCATCAACACAATATTTCATGACCTAATTAGCAAAATCATAGAGGTGAATTAGTATTGATTAATGGTGTGATTGTCAATCATTGCTCATACCACCAGTACCAAATAAATTACTCAATTTGTACGTTGCCACTGAGAACGATTCAATTACTTGTTAGCACATATATGGTTGAAAAATTGGGATATGGTGATACAGTGATTGATCACAGGTATGGTTGAACAATTGGGATACGGTGATCGATCACAAGTATGGTTGAAAAATTGGGATACAGTGATGTGATGATCGATCACAGGTATGGTTAAATGAAACGATACAGTTGAAAACCATATCAGGAATTTCATTCGAGTGATACGCTGTTTCATTCGAGTGTGAAATACTGAAAGCTGAGAATGCAATTGAAGACCATATCAGGAGTTTCATCCCAAAACTAGCTGGAATGGACGCTGTTTCTTTCAGTATTTCAATCTTCTTTTTGTTTATGTTTCGTAACTCTATTGGACTTGGGAGCAACATTTCTCATCCCTCACATTTCTAATATCACGAATGTGAAATCAATGAACAAATTTTTTAAAGGAATTCCTCTTGTTTCTGACATATGTTTTTATTGCATTGTATTTAATATCTTTATTTTTTTGTGTCTGTAATTGGATGGTAATATCAAATTGTAAAATGAATGTCCGTGTTCATAGATATTTTCTGTTATATAGGATTTTTACGTCTCAAGTACAGTTGGAGCATGTGCAGACGGCAAGATGAAAATCCGAGTAACAGAACCAGCTATCTGACTTCTTGGAAGTTTAGAGTGTGATCCAAGCTATGACATAGAAGTTAATACCGCAATAGCTAGTTTTTATGAGGGTTGAAGCTGATTCAGAATCTAGTACTAAAAACAACAGGGAAAACTTTGTCTACTAGAAGGAGATTCTCTCTCAAACTTTCTCACTTTATGGAGACTACTAGATGGAGGGGTTTGGTTTATAGCTGCATTAAGAGTAGGGCTTTGCAAAGTGAATAGACATATTTCTGCATGCATTGGATTTCTTTCTCATTATGAATGTCGTGTCCGTAGGTAGACTTTTTATGTTGGTTACAGTTGGAGCATGTGCAGAGGACAAGATGAAAATCCGAGTAACAAAAGCAGCTATCCGACTTCTTGGAAGTTTAGGGTATCATCCAAGCAATGACAGAAGTTACTACCGAAAAATCTAGTTTTTAGGAGGATTGAAGCTGATTCAGAATCTAGTACTAAAAACAGAACGGAAAGCTTTGTCATCAGATTGGAAGTTTGCTACCCTCAGAAGGTCAACCGCCTATGTTTGCACAACTCTATATTTTCGACACTGAAAATAAAGTCCAAAATAGAATGCAGGGTTTAAGGTATATATATTCAAAACTTGCAATTATTTTTGTATCCTACTACGTTATCCCTTTTCAATAACTTCTATCTCTCATACAATTAATATACTTTTTAAAATATAGGAACACAAAACACATTGCTCTAGTCATTATACATCATTTGTCAGATATGCTCTACGAACATAACCCTCATGCCAAAAGTTTTCAAATGGCCAAACAATGGTTACTTAATTTAGATACACAAAACTTGAAACTGAGACTTATTTTACTATAGAACCACAGATGGAAGAATCTATAATCAACCTACTGTTTCTGAAGTTAATGCTTTAGTTGTTTGTGATATTGACATAGATATCAAAGTTATACATAGACAATGGATAGAGTACTATAGTACTCATTTATATACTCTCGATTTGAAAAAATCTGCGTACCCGAGTCTATACCTACTTGGGCGTCAAAGTTAACACTCGTACCTGTATTCTGTGGGTATGTAAGTACTTGTACCCTTACCCACATTCCTATTATAAATAAATAAATAAATAAATAAATTATAAAATATCACATCATTTTAAGTTTTTAAAAAAATTTAAACATTTTCAAAAAATTTATTATTGAAATAAACGAACACTAACATGTATATACTTTTAAAAATTGATAGACCTGCATTTTATATAATAATATAGATTAAAATATATAAATATAAATTAAAATACACAAATATATATTGTGTGAGTATGAGGCGGGGTGAGTACAAAATGCCCGTACCCGCTTATTTTTGTAGGTAATTTTACACGAGTCCGTATCCGTACCCATTTTTGCGGATTTTTACCCTATCCATTATAGGTAATTTCGTGGATGCTTATTGGGGATGAATCAAATTACTATCCTTAGATATATATTTTATAATTGATGTTTGAAACTCATAAAATATAGAAATACATATTTTTAAATAAAATTACGATTCTCAATATTATATATATATATATATATATATATATATATATATATATATATATATATATATATATATATATATATATATATATATATATATATATATATATATATATATATATATATATATATATATATATATATATATATATATATATATATATATATATATATTTGTGTGTGTGTGTGATATTGGATCTAACTCTAGTATGGTTGAAGTCTGTTCGTGAGTAATGCATGTTGTAGTCAAAGTTTGTTCTAACATGCATTAGTCAATATTGTTGGGTTTGTTAGCATGTTGAATTGAGTCTTGCTTTTAAGCCTAATTGTTTAAGTTAGCTTGTACCCTAAGTTAGATTATAATGGATAATTGTTAAAAAAAGCTCATAGGTTAGTATGTTAGTTTTCTTATAAATAGCATGTTAGTCTCTCAACTTGTATAAGGAAAAATAGGAAGATAAAATCTTAATTCAAGTGAGAGAGGTTCTTTGTTATTCTTGTATATTTGTAATCTTGTTTGATAGAGAAAAGAAAGAATAGCAGTTTATAACCAATCCTTGTTGTTTCTTCTTGTTCTTCTTGCTTGTTTTCTTTGTTAACTTTAACCCTTCTATTCACAACAAATTGGTGCGGTGAGTGTGGAGAAGATGTCTTCAACAAAGCATGAGATTTAAAAGTTTACTGGAGTGAACGACTTCGATATGTGGCACTTGAAGATGAAAGCCCTACTGGTTCAGTAGGGTTGTTTGGAAACGTTGAAGGGAGAGACAGCCATGGACGTTGCGTTAACGGCAAAAAAAAAAAGACGATCATGATTGAGAAAGCCCACAACGCAATATTGTTGAGCCTTGCTGATAAGATTCTTTGACAGGTATCAAAGGAGACTACAACATCGGGGTTATGGGTGAAATTGAAAGTTTGTACATGACCAACTCTCTAGTGAATCGACTCTACCTGAAGAAAGATTTGTATTCATTCAAGATGAGTAAAGACAAAGTGTTAGCTGAGCAGTTAAATATGTTCAACAAGTTGATTCTTGATCTTGAAACTATTGATGTGAAGATCAATGATGAAGATCAAACACTATTGTTGTTGTGTGCTTTGCCCATAACACATGCTCACTTCAAAGAAACTCTCTTGTATGGAAGGGAGTCCCTGAGCTTTGAAGAAGTTCAATCAGCCTTGTATTCTAAGGACTTGAACGAACGAAAAAAACATAAGCCTTCGATGGTGGGTGAAGGTTTGGTCGTTAAAGGGAAAATTCTTGCCAAAAGATGGTAAGTTCGACAAGAAGAAAAGTAAAAGTCAGCAGAAGTCTTATAGTGGCGAAACATCTGGTATTCAAAGTTATCACTGTAAGAAGAAGGGTCACACAAGAAAGGTGTACCCTGAACGCCTGAGAGATCATGGAGGTAAGGATAATGGCAACGCAACCATTATTCAA